AGTGATGTCGAATAAACTCTTCAAACCGTCCATGGAGGGTGCTCGTAAAAATCTTAAAAAGGGATTGTATAGCTAGAAGAGGGAATCATGGAACTTCTGAAATCTGGAGACAACGCGATTGAATGTTGTCTGTATATTAGCGGTGGGACCATCATCTAACTCAACAGTGCGGACAGTGTGACAAGCCTTAACTCATAGAAGTATCATCTGTTGAAGAGAAACTTACATCAGCTGTGGCGAAGAAGAGTATCAGGAAGAAGAGCATTATGAAATGGTTATTAGACGGAAGGATTCCATATTGAAATAGCCTCTCGATTCAATGATTGGCTATGTGAGGTTCCCAAAGTGAAAGCATTTAAGCTTAACGATGTCCTTAGTTGGATATCGTTTCTCACATACTTTTTATTATAACCATGTTGGGAGTGTTGATTATGTGATGGAAACTCAAACAACATTTTGATAAATCAGAATGTTTGCAGCTCTCCTCATCTTATACGATCGGTCTGACTGTCTGTTAGAGATCTTTCATTGATTTCTCACATTCACATCTTTTATTGTATTTTTCCTTTTGTGTGTTCAAAATGAACACTACTTTTGAGGAAAATCAGCTTGCGCTTGCCTCGCATATTACTTTATAGAATGTATACATCGACTACTTCTTCGTCTTCATCCTCCACTTCATCGTTTTCATTCAAAATAATGAGAAGTCGTGTAATGATCAGAAGATTTCATGAAAACATATTCAACAGGTATGGTACATCTATTACTCGCATCCCTCTTTCACTTGCAGCTTCTGTGATATCACTTTGAAGCATCCGAAGAAGATCATTGTTGTAACTCTTATCATATCTATTCTCATCTCTTCACTAGGTATTTATTTCAATAGACGAATATTCAATTTCAACCCAAGTTTGGTATGTTTTTCCATCATGTTTATTCACATACTCACTCATACAGGGCTTCGAGACTAGAGGAACACCTCTTGCTGATGGGCGCCTATTGTTGGAGAACTTAAAAACGTATGCAGCTGGTCCGACCGAGATCTATGGAAGTTTGAAGAAGGGAAGACCAAAACGAGAAATCGTTAAATCCGACGATATAACTGTTAAATCGGATATCATCTTCATGAAAAAGTAACCTCGTTTTCTATAACAAAAGGTTTATGGAGCCGTTTTTAGAGTTGATGACCTTCAAAGCAATACTACTATGGAGGCTTTACCTCCAGATTACAATGATTATGGAACAGATTCTGAGCCAAACGAGGAAGATCTAGCTGATGCTTGTGTTCAATACTCTTCAATGGGGAAGAAGGTGCCATATCAATATATGGACTACTTTGTCAAAATCATTTTTGAATTAGAAAAGCCAGAAAAGGTATTCATGATCTCAGTACCTCACATCTTCCCTTCTAGCTCTATACTCTTTCAACTTTCAAACAATTGTGTCAAATCGATGAAATACTACAAGAAACCATAAACTCGACGAACTTTCGGAAAACATCCACCGCCTTCAAACATGCCTTCAACTTGCCACTGATAGCCACTTGTTTGAACTTCACTACACCAAACACATGTGAAGGATTGAATGATGTTGAGTAAGTAGGCAAACATTCCATAAATATAAACTTTGTCATAATATAGTATTCTGAACCTGAAGAATACGATAGAGAAATGCCAGACTGAGACTTCTGAGGAAATTTGTGAATCAGAGACAATGCTACAGATCCGTCATTACCTGTTGCCTCTGACACAGAACTCTAAGTACGTGGCTGCAATACTTCCAGTTAGTTTCTACTTGAAGAGTGACTTAGTGTGAAGAGTAACCATTCAGATCACAGTGAACAGCAACAAGAAGTCTGACCCCTTCTATGAAAAGCTTTTGAAAAATCTGAAGAAAGCTTATTCCAAGAATGTCATATTGAAAGGAATCTTCTTCAATATTAAAGAGACCGAGTTCGTGTTTGCCATAAAGCACGATATCGTTCTTGCAATTTTGTCTGGTAGGTCAGTTCTTCTAGGTAGTAATGAGTGAACTGTTGTAGCCATCCTGGTTTTTGCCTGTTTCTTAGTATACTCAAAGAGTTTCTTCTTCACATTCATTATTTTCTCTATAATTCTGCTGTCCATCGGAATCTCATTCACTATTTATGCCGTGAGAGTCATGCTCTCCTGCTTTTCCTATTTTACTTGCTTCAGACTGTTTTTGCGATCGACTTCTTCCCTTTTCTCAACCTTCTGGTCGTTGTCCTCATGATAGCTATTGGTGCTGATGATGCTTTCCTGCTTCTGAATTATTTCAGACATGAGATGCATGTAAACATGTGGCTCTTCATTCAATTCATGCTATGAAACACATTTCCAGGTTCATTCAGCTCCATGGAAACCTGGAAATATCTATCTTCCACCACAATCAAGACATCAGAAGTGTTTACGACTATCTTTAGGACATTCATTGATGAGCATGTTCATCACATCAGCAACTACCGCCGTCGCCTTTCTCTCGAACTTCACAAGTGATGTCCTCGTTTTGAGGTTTATCAGTTACCATTCGTATTCTCATATATACTTTAAGATGCTTCGGAATCTTTGCCTGTTTGACTGTCTTGGTTAACTACTTGCTCGTTCTTCTACTACTCCCTAGCACTTTGGTCCTAACTACTCGAGGTTTCATTCATTCCGTTTCTTCATGTTCCTTCTTCGTTTGCAGCTGAGTTCGAGAAGAGTTTTCCCAGGTCTTCTGTCAGTAAGAAAGAAGTTTTCGTTGATAAGCTCGTGAAGTTCATTAGTTTTTCTAAGCACATGATCTGCCTGATCAGCCTTGCTTTCCTACTTGCTTCCATAGTCATCGTTTTCCTGAAACCTGGACTCCAGATTCCAAAGTACAATCCCACAAAGATTTTAACATCGTCTGATCCTTCTGAGTGGTTTGATGACAATTCCCACTTGTTCGATTTTCAATGGAAAAGAAGTGCTCACCTGATGGAGTATTTTGTCATCGGGGACATGAAAGTAAAGTCAGTTCGCTTTTTGAATATTTCGTTCTAACCAGGAAGAGCTTTAGAGGAGGGAAAAGCTTGTCTCCTAGTGCGATGGGATACGTTCAGGCAAACCCTCTCAGAATTACCAATCGACAAGTCCAAGAAATCAATGTAATTCCGTTTGCTTGATTCCGATTGAACAGATTTCATCTTCAGAAATTGGTTATTGAGTTGATGGATACGAACGGCTATTCCAACTATTCGTCATGGATGAAGAAGTTTATCAATCGATCAGCTTGTAGTTCTCTGGCTTCAGATTCAGTTCGTTCTTTGATTCTTCACACTTTAGTATTTCATCATAGGCAATACCATCGGAATGTTTCGTTTCGTTCAGCGTACAAAGCCTGCCATCATCATTTCCAGATGATTACGCTGTTCTACCTTCAGATGGACCGATTTTCAACAAAAATCTTAGTCTTATAGGGTTGAGATATTCAGTTCATTACGATGTTTCAATCAATCTTTCAGATACTTCATAGCTATACCAACGTCAATAGCGTTGTCTTCTAATGCCAATCACATTGAAACACTTTTCCAAAACATCAGCAGCCATTGTGATATTGCACATAGAATGACAAGTTATTGAAACAAACACTTGACAGATGAATAAATCCAAAACTTTCAGAATCATTACCGAACATCAGATGTCTCTCTTCATCTGACATCGACAAGTATTACGATATTCTTCAACAAATACGTCCTTCTACAATTCAATCTGTTGGAATCAGTCTGCTTGTCAGCCTACTTGTTGTTATTCTTTGCACAAGACGAATCACCTTGTCAATTCTTTCAATTTTCATTATATCAACTGTCATACTGGTAACTGTCGCGATACTTATCGCATTGGGTCAGACTTAATACATATGATATAAGCTTAGACTATCTGTTTTCAGGATGGCAGTTGAGTGTTGTAGAATCAACTATCCTTATACTAACGATTGGTTTGAGTTTTGATTTCTCTCTCCATATAGCATCAGGTCTTCGTTCCAACGAAGAGGAAGTCATTCCTAGAGTGAAGTCTGACATTGACGACATTGACTGAAATTCATTTCACTCTTTAAGAAACACATTGATGTCAGCTGGCTCTGCTTGTCTATTAGCAGCAATCACTTCCGTTCTCTGTGGATTTCCTTTGATATTTTCAAATACCACAGCATTCCTACAGGTAGTCAAACTGAAATTAGCATATATCTGTAGATATGCTAATCGAGGCGCGAAGCATCAAGCTACTCATTAGAAAACATTTTGAAATTTGAACGCCTCAGAACGGTTGCATTCTATTGATATATAATAGATCTTTGAAGAGGACAATGGGAACATCACGTTGTTAATGAATTACTTGCAGGTTGGAACGATGTTGATGACATTAGGAGTGATATCGTTGATAGGAGCTTGTCTTGTATTTCCTTCGATGTTTCTTCTGTTCAGACGACGATCGAAGATAGTTACTCATTGTTGAAGATTATTAATTATAACATTATGGAAAAGAAAACTAAATTCATTGAAAATCTACATGTAACATTAAATTCCTTAAGGGGACGAACAAACAGGATGGTGGGATGAACCAGGAATTGCAGAGGACACAAAGAAATCCTTCCTTCTAAGTAAGAGAATGGTATTGTATTAATTGGTATCTAAACATAACGCAAAAACGAACAAACAAACAGAATTCTGATGAGTAGAAGGATAATTGGAATGAAGAAATCGAAAAGGGTCAATGATACAGATGAAAACGAAGTGTTGTGGATCGGGGGAGGGAATCTTCGAACAAGTTAACAGAACTAATACATTCACATATTTAATTTAAAAGTTTTCCACAACGATTCTACACTTTACACTGTAGAGCACATGTCACTGGGACAGTTTGACAGACCTAATAGAATGAAGTAACATGTTACAAACTAACTCTTAATTATACTAGTATAATATATGAAACAAATTATTTTTTAGATGTACAACTTAACTAAACCAACGAAATTCCCCACGGACTAAGCAACGGCTTGTTGGAGGACGCACACAGCATCTTCAACAACAGATCTGTGTTGATCTGAGAGGTTTTCGAGGAATGATGAGGAAGTTCAGATAACTCCTATAAGAAATTAAGCAAACTTTAGATTGATTTGATGAATACGTACCTTAGTCTGATCTCCTTGACGAACACATGGACGATGATCAGCACGGTTTCCAGTATGCATCAAATCCCAGCAACGCCTGCAATTTCATAATGTTAGTTTAGTTATTTAATAATTTATGATTACTGGCAGTAATATTGGCGACACGGTTTATGGCCACAGAAGTAAGCTGCAAACTCATTGCCGTTACGAGAGCCGAAGCATTCATCGCACATCATATCATCCATTACATAAGGCTTAATTTCAACTTCCTTAATTAGAAATGATTATACTAGACAGACTGCAGATTCAACTTACTCTTTTGCTCGTTTCCATCTTCTCCATTTTGACAAAACGACCATTTATGGCTTTGATATAAGACTCATATGTAGCAAAATTTACACGAGCAGCTCCCTTCAATAATGCGCATGAGTTAAATGATAAGAATGTTCCGTACCTTAGGATAACGTAATTCTGGGTCAATATCCACACCAGCATATACAACAGTACCAAAATGAGCTTCTAAAATTTGGGCTAATTCTTCTGTAAATAGTATAATAAGTGAATGATATTGTTTAAGTTACATACTTGCAGTAGCGGGACGAGGAACTCCTCCAACAAAAACAGTTCGGCGAGGATCTATTTGTATAGCAGGATAAGGCACATAGTTAATATTGGACAAAGCCCATGGCCGAACTTGAGCCTAAAGAACAGAAAACATAAGGTTTGACGTTCACAATGCTTATGAAATACTTACAGCTTTAATAAACAGGGTTGGACTTTCCATTCTCAGCCAATAGTGATTATCATTTGGTTCGGAAATACAAGTGTTTATCAACCGACTGACTGATTCTTCATTTTCATATACAAGGAAGACATAACCATTTAATGTACAGGGAGCTGAAACAGTATAATGATTGGAATAAAAAGGAAAGGGAAGTTACTTGTATTACGACCAGCTTTATAGTGAGAAGCAGCTCTAGGCCAATCAACCATTACATCACCAAACTGCTGGAACATTCTTTCGACATAGTCTAGAAGTGCAAGTTTATTAAAAAGTATATAGAGCATGAACTTACGGCGAGGAACGTCTGTTGGCAGACCACCCACGAACACCTTTCTAGAATAAGACGGAATAACTGTAGACTCGAGACTAACAGCTCTTCTACAATACATCTTGTCCACTGAAAGATAAAACAAAAGTTCATCTCATTGGATTAGTAAGCTTACTTTTGAAACGAACATCTGAAGCGGATTTGGTCTTTTGAGCTTTCTTAGGATTGTACAAGTACTGGCGAGGCTGAAATGATTGAACAGGAATTAGATGCGAAGAGAAGGAACTTACTTGGTAACGAATTGTATCATTACAGTATTCATGAGACATGAATCTTTCATTAGTTAGTTGAGTTGGAGGTAAACGTTTGGAATTAAATACAAATTGATCTTCAATGATATCAGGAGGATTAAATATCTGAGGTCTTTGCTTAAGGTAACAGCTCGTCATTATGTCTGAAAATATATAATTTAAATATAAAACACCATAATCAGATATTATAGTTCTGTGAGACAAGAGGCTTCTACCGAATTCGAACTGAAAATAGATTGAGATGATGGATGGAAATCGCCGATGGGAACAAAGTGGGCGGAGCTTAACCTAGGTGGCTGCATATCTCACGGGTGGCCTTATTCCCACGGGTGGCATTGCGCTGTACTTTCTTGAGCGGATGATGTTAAGGAGCGGCTCGTTTCATCTCGAAGCTGCTATTGACAAATTATGGATATGCAGATGTTAGTTATGATAAAATTAGATATTAAAAACACAAAGTGCAATGATATCGTTCACTTTCAGCTGTCTCGATCTTTCTCATGTAAGCCGCTATGGCATGAGTGCTAGAAGATGCTGGCAAACTCGAAGTATCAGAAGCGTTCGAAGGAGTAACAGATGCAAGCATTCAGGTTAATTTCATTATTAATTACTTTATATTCATGTGTATGCGATTATACGTATGAAAACAAAAGTTTGCATCAGCTGTTTAGAAAAGATGTGTTGGCGCTTTTTTCAAATTCAATAATCATGCTAATGAACGAGATCATGAAAGCGCGCTTGCGACATCTACAATTAGCATATGTAAATCCAGATTATTTAGCATAAAACTGTGTTTTGAGTTGTTTGAGTTAAGTTTTTTTCAATTTTCAGTCTGAGCAATAATAACAGGTGAAAAGCAATGCTTCAACGGATCCATACTAGAACAACAATGGGACCACCGAACGGTTTGCATTCATTACAATCTACATCATCGGTCTGTTTTCCATTCATTCCTTTATCCTCATATCCATACTTCCTGATCTTCTTGCTTAATTCCGTCAGAATGCGCTGAGTTCTTTGGTTTTTTGATTTCCAAAGTATTCATATTTGATGCGAGTGAAATGAGCTAGCTTCGAGTCTCTATAAGCTTAACATCTGTCTTCTCGAATATGTTGATGACTAACTAAAGAGAATCAAATATTGAACGTTTACAGCGCTCAACCTATATCTTCATATATAACAGCTCACTCATATGGTTTTTATCAATGCGACAGAGTTCCGTATCGAAATGAGGCCGGAGCTTTATCGAACGCTATACAATGACTTCAATGAACAACGAGATTTGATAGAGCCTTATAAAACTATATTATTTGTAATCACAGCCATTACTAATGTTGCCATCGTTGTGTTCGTCTATCTAATATTGAACCATAGCAAGCATCTGAATACATCATATAAGATTATTCTTCTATGGAACATCATCTTACCGGGTATTCAAACTAACTTTTTCGGGATCGTTTTTCAACCCTTTGTTATACTACCTTATTTTGTTGTTTTCAACCTTAGCTTCGTACGTGACGTCATGCCAGACACACGTTTCATGATGCCAATCCTTATAAGCTTCTTCTTATTGTTCGCTTTCGGGTTATTCTACGCTACTCTTTATAACTATGTAGTTATTCACCAATCAGTGAAATTCGTCTTGTCTACACGCATCAAGATTATATGCATCGGTATTCTAGTAGGCCTATCGACTCTCAACTATTATTTGTTATACCAAACCTTGAACATGGAAGATCAGAGTATCGTGAAACAACGAATATATGACAGTGATAAGCGTTGTGTTGAAATAGTGGAAGAATATACTGCTTTCATCATAAGCATTCCTAGATTCACTGATCATTTCCTATTGTTGATGATACAGTTTATTATATCAGCTATTGCTATGACCGTTCTCATACCATATATGACATACAGGTGCTTACTTTCTATATTTTCCTTCCCATTACACTATTCAGAACTGTTGTCGTTATCCGTGAGCGTAAAACCTCTTTGTCCAGACGAACAGCGAACCAGCAAATGACAATCGCAAAAATGATTGTGTTCTACTTCATGAACTTCACCGTATTCGTCAATTCACCAACTTTCTATGCAATATTTTTCTCTATCTTTGACTTTCGTTTTATCAAAATGTAAGTTTCCCGTCGTATTCACTTCTTACTTGACTGGCTTAGAATATTCAAAGTTCCATGGTCATTGCTGATCATCCCTATGTACATGTTGCCTCCGATCACTGTCGGTATAATGTATACATATGTGTTCAAGCTGCATGAGGCGTTTTATAAATCAGTGCGATCTCGAATTGCAACAAATAGCATATTGGAAGAGATTACTGGTCTACCTACTCGTAACCGTTTGGCTCTTCCACGTCATAGAGTAGATCCTGCCAATGTTAACAAATAAATTTTTTTTATTTCAAAATTTTAATACGCAATGTTTTCCCATATTTAGCAAGTCATTCATATTCTTCTTCACCGACATCCAATAAAACATCTGTTTCTTCTAACAGATTCTCATCATCCTCTTGATCGTTGTTGTTTTCACCTGGAATTGTAGGTGATACTTGTGAACAGAAGCTTTCAATACCGATATGCTCGCAAACTCTTAAACTACTTTCCAGCTCAACAAGTTGTGTTACTTCGTCAGGGCTTTTCAGTCGTGAATCATCGGTAACCCAGTGAACACCATCCGAACGAAGGACAACCTTATAGTTTGGTTGATAAAACAGCTTCTACACAAAAGAAAGGGATACCTGTCGAACAGCGGGCAAGCTCAAGCTCGTTTGCGTAGATCGACTGAGACTTCGGTCTGAGGTAGAGTTTTCGTCATCAAAGCACTGCAATGAAGAAGTTCATGTTTGAATTAATTTATACTCCTGCCTGAATTATTCCAAGCGTTGTGACACTTTGCTCGCGCACAATCGTAGCTACAACCTTTCCAGCATCGTAAGTCTTTTTCATCTTCACGTGGAGAATTTGTTAAGACATGACATGTAATCGAAGTACCTTCATTTGCAGCAAGTTGATGACCATTGATACAAGTGATAATCCTATTAGTATGAAACCAAACATGGTTAAAAGTAATTGAGGCGAAGAAGGAACAAGATCTCCCAATCCTACCGTACTAGAATTTGCATAAATCCAAGCTGATAATGTAAATCTCTATCAACGTACCTTAGTGATAAAAAGAAAAAATAAAAAGATTCAAAAGGTGTCCAATTGCTATCCAATGCTGATAGAACAACTGAACATACCAAAACCTGCAATATCACGTCATTTACGTGACTCTTCAATCTCTATCATATTCATTTCTTATTTCATTGCGTTCAGAGCGGTTGCATTCGAAGAAGTCTCTCGCCCATGTCTCTTTACACCCGTCATGTACCTCATTCGCATTATTTTATGACAAAAAAAATCAATTTCGTAGTTTGAAACGTACCCATATGACCACAAGTGATAATCCGACCGGAACTGGGAGATCAAAAACTTCCAAATCTTGACGTTCTTTTATCTCTATTTGTTTCATTTCAGCGATTGATTGCTTCGTGCAGCATCTTAAGTGAATGATTAATTTGAAAAAAAATTTAATTTTTGATCAACTTTAATATTCTTCTTGTTAATCTTTTGGTTTGGAACCATGGATACTTCATTGTTATTGTCAATAACTTTCCAATATCTTGTAGGACCAACAACATGAGAGGAATTCCAAATAAGGCAAAAATCATGGTGATCGCTCGTCCAGCATTGGTAATTGGATAAATATGACCATAGCCTGAGGTAATATTTGATTTATTCATCATGAGAACATAATGATCACCAATGGTCGTGCATATTGTGCCAGCAAATAGCAAAGCGCTCCAAAAATCCCATTCCATCTTCTGATCCGACCAGCGAATGTCTAACTGCTGTTCATATAAGTGCAACTGCCTTCAAAGGATATGTTGAGGATAGGTATATGTAGAGAGATCTTTGAGATTCTCTTTACATCTTGTTCTCTTCCATCGTTCCACATCTCGCGACACTCTCCACAATCCTTCTTTTTCACTTTTTTTTTGCTCTTTGACAACAAAAAAGTTCAAAAAGACTGAAGCATAGCTGCGATTAGCAACAAACTCAAAAATGAGAGGAAAATCTCAGCTTTTGCTCAAAAAATTTTAAAAATTCCCCTAAGGAGCAGTTGCGCTTTGTGTGACGCATATGATGGAGGAACGGCGGATGAATGATGAATAGAAGCATATATCAAAAATTAAATTGAGAAAATTCTGTGAGTGTAAATGGTGTGTGTGTAGTGGAGATGAGGAGAAGTTAAAAAGAAGGAGCTTCGAATGATATCCTGAACAGCCAAAAAAGAACTGACAATGATTCTGAAGCTCCTTATGCGCACACTCCTTCTGATCTCATATCATCTTATTGTTAGCACCTGCGTTAGTCAAGAGAACTCACTCGTTGAAGAAGAGCTGAAGACGAGCACTCGTTGTTCCCTTCAAGTAAACCAAGAAATCTGAGTTATTGAAAGCTCTTTTCATTATATCATTCACCCGTAAAGATCGATGGAATGTGACTTTCTGAATAAGTTTTTGAACCTTAATGAGTCAAACGTGTTTGGAGTTACTTGATTCCAGTCTGATTTCAACTTGTTCTGATGGGGTCCTTCAGCTATAAGAATAGCCAATGCTCCTATAGCTGTATAACAGAGGAAAACAAGAATAAGCACAACATGCTGGAATAGAACAGCTTCATGGAGCATAAATGTGATTTGCATAGATAACGCTGACGATTATGGAATTCGCATTTCACGAATAGCTCCAAACTACAGCTCATCCATAACATCCTACTTTTGAAATAAGAAAAAGATACCTTCAGACCATATTTATGATATGCGCGATTGAGGAATAGGAAACAGAGCGGAGGTTTTTCTTGTAAACGTTCAACTTGACGCATACCAGCTTGATGAGCTCTACCTGCTATCTATAAAATGAAATGAGAAAAGCTTAGAAAGGCTTAGCTAGGAATGAGAAAATGAATTTCTGATTTGAAAAGGTGTTCTACATGCAGAAGAAAATAATACTCTTCGATCATCATTAGGCAACGGACAACTCACATCCTTCATATTCAAGGCGCCTTTCCTTATTTGGGAATGAGCCGAATTCAGTAGACGGTTTCCAGCAAAACGGCGATTTCTTCTCTCAGCAGCATCTCCTTCACCTTTCTCAATCAGAGCTGGCAACATGAGTTGAGCCAAATCCTTTAGACTCTTCCTAGTATCCATCCTCCCTCCGCCTGTGGCATCCGGCAAAGTAGTTTGCATCTCTACAGCTATTCACAGGTTCATATTCTTCTGAAATACTTGAAAAAAAATGATTGAATGAACGAAATAAAAAAAAAGGAGTTTCCTATCAAATTTCGGAAATGAAAAGCTGTCTTTCGACTTGGATGCTGTCAGAACTATGACAAGAGAGGCAAGACATCACAAATGGTTGTTTGAACCAGAAATGCTCTTATGCCATAGATGGGGTGACGTCAAAATCAGCGAAAAAGTTTATTTTAGAAAGTAAGAAGAGAGAGAGTGAAAATAAAAAATACGAAAGGCTAAGCGGAGAAGGACAAAAAAGGAGATAACAGTCAGAAGACGAATCGGTCTTCCATCTGGCTAGAGCATTTGGAGAAAGCTGTTGATGTTAAGCTGTAATTAAATGGAACAGACAATAATTATATGAATGAATAAGGATAATTTTGAGTGAGCTAGCTAGCTATACATGTTACAAACATTTGTGTAATTTTGAAATGAAAGATCTCTACTTGACCTTATTTGGCTTAAGTAGCATTGGCAGTCAGCCAATTATTCATATCCGGTAGATATTTCAGGATATTAGCACTTGTAATAGAATTATATTCTTCCTTCTTAAGATGACAGATGACATTCAGAAGATCTGTTACAGATTTTGGACAACGTTAGATGAAGGAAGTGTTTTGCCATTGCACATACACTCCTCCTCATCGGTTAGAGTTCTTACCAATTCAATTGATAGCCAGATAGATGATTATGAAAAGAGCAAGTTTATGAAATTTAAAAACTGAGGATGATATCGCGGCAGTTTCACTAACTTTCTGCTCTTCCCCTAGAACGTCCTTTGGGGATATGAAGAACTGCATGGCTAGGGTGGCCAAATAAAGATATTTTAAAGTCCAAAAGTTTGTTTGAAGTAGATAGTTGCAGTTAAGAATAGAAAACTATCTTCTCAAACTTTTTTTCTTCTAAATTCACAAAACAATGAGGAAAATCTTTTTCAAATGGGAAAATGAGGACTACAAAAAGTGTTCCATGCATATTGGCTGCTGAAGTTAAGTGTTCATAAAATCCTATTTAGGCAGAGTTTCTCTCTCACAACTCTTCAGCTAAATAAAGCATTGAGAGAGGATAACTTCATTTCCTTGTGCTTCGTTTGACCTTTAATGGCTTCGATAGGAGGGATCAATGGATTTGGTTATATTAGCCTCACCCAGCATATTCATACCCAACTGGATAATTTTAATTAATTTATACATAATATACGTGAAGTGGCGTCACGCGGGGTATGAGAACGTACACCTATATTGTTCATTTCTGAGTACGGCCAGACGGAGAACGGTTGCTTCATGAGGTGAGATCTGTTTATAATGTTACATTAAACCTATTTTTTGTTTGAACAAGATTATATATAAGCCATATAACATTTGTTATCATCTTTATCATTGTTTGCTCAGAAACATATGTCAAGTCATTCTCCAGTCTTTCCCACTTTTCGTCGTTTCATTCTCGATTGAATGTAACTCCTTCAGCTGACATATTTTTTTATCAGCTGACCAGAGCCAAGTTGTTGACAAAGACAATTATCATTTAAACTCGACCAACTGATAAAAGATTCTATTCTGTCTTTTGCCAAAACTATTGTCTTCCCTCCTGCTATCTGTTGGTCAGTTTTTCTTGGAGTTCAGTTGAAGAAATGAGGTTTTTGCTCTATTTCTTCGCTTGCCTCGCTCTAACAGAGGCCTTCTCACGGAAGAGATTCCGATTCAAGTGAGCATCCGAGTGTATTTCGAAATGTTTAATCTTCCGCCTATAGGCCTCAGGATGATAATGATGGTGAGACTTACGCAGTTCTTGTTGCTGGTTCAAATGGATGGTATAACTACCGGCATCAGGTAAAGATAGCTTGCTGATGTTTTTGGAAAATGGGTTGCCTCTTAGGCGGATGTGGCACATGCTTATCACACATTACGCAAACACGGAATCTCTGAGGATAATATAATCGTTATGATGTACGATGACATTGCCAACAACACCCAGTCAGTCCTTTTGCTTACATTTCTTGTTTTGAATTGAAGTTTCCAATAGAAATCCCTATCCCGGCAAAATCTTCAATGAACCTGATGGTCCAGATGTATACGAGGGATTGAAAATTGATTATCGTGTTCGTTTCGCTTTCTATCATTCTCTTTCACAATAGCAAATTCAGGCTAAAGATGTAACTGTGAAAAATTTTATCAAAGTTTTGAAAGGTGACAATCAGATCAGAGGGGGAAATGGACGTGTACTTGAAACGTTTGTCTTTGTGTTCCCAGAAAGAGAATGAAAATCTTTTTTTAGAAACTCTAATGATAGAATTTTCATTTATTTCACCGATCACGGAGCTACGGGTTTGATATCATTCCCTGATGAAATAGTAAGATGATCGGAACCATATGGAATCAATGTTTTCCTTCAGTTAAGTGTCAAGGAATTGAACTCAGCTCTTCAATGGCTTCATTCACACAAGAAGTTCGCCGAACTTGTGTTCTACCTGGAAGCTTGTGAGAGTGGATCCATGTTTGAAAAAGTTTTACCTTCTAATCTCAACAGTTCGTTTTGAAAATTAATTTTTTGAACGCTGAGTTATCATTTTAAGTCTATGCAATTACTGCTGCTAATGGACATGAATCATCATGGGGAACTTATTGTGAGAATGACATGGGTCTTCCTTGCTTGGGAGACTTATTCTCTGTCAATTGGATGATCGATAGCGATGATGTACGTTTTTTACTTTTGTTAGAAGCGTGAGAATCATTTTTAGGAGGACTTGAATGTAGAAACATTACAACAGCAGTTTGAACTTGTCAAAGCTAAAACGACCAAGTCACATGTTCTTCAATTCGGAGATTTGAGTATTGCCCGTGAGCCAGTTGGTAATTTCCAGGGAGAGACAAAGCAGAACTCTGAAATGGACCAAGTAAAGCCAGCACCGATGCCATATTATAAGCTCTCGTTTGTCTTCTAGGAATTTGAAGACGATGATTCAGAAGATACTGAAGATGAGGACTTGGGACATTCCTATACTATGTGGCCTTCAAGAGATGTTCTCGTTAATTCACTCATTTGGGAAAGATCACAAACAAATGACTACTCAAGAATCAATGCTCTGAGCAAGCAGATTTCTGAAATCCGTGAGGTGGGACAATTGTGATCGTTGCGTCAGAAGAAACATTTCCTTTCAGAAACGTCGCCAAGTGAAACGAACTTACCATAGCATCGTTCACGGATTGTTCGATTCTCAGAGTTTGATCGATGAGATGATCACCAAGAAGTCTCCAGTGCTCTATTTGGATTGTCATCATAAAGTTGTTCACAAGTTTAACGATATGTGTTTCGACTTCCACGAGGTATTAAAGAGTTTCCCTCTCTCTCTCTCATTCCGATTGTTTCAGGATGAACAAGCTTTAAATTATGTTTATATTCTGAATAATCTGTGTAATTACTTCGAGGACGAGTGGCCAATTCTAGATCAAATCACAAGAACTTGCGACGTTTTCAATTCTTTGTAAATTATTTTCAATAAAAGTTGGTTAAAACATCTTCTTCCTTCTCTTCATACCAGTGTTTGCCTGGATTGAGTAATGTACCTTCAATAAGAACTTCTAGATAATGCTATGGCTCTGTGCGAAATGAAGGAGTTATAGTCCATTTTGAACCAACCAGTTCTTGGCTCTTTAATTTTTGAAATGATTTTCTCAACTTGCATAAGCCTGTTGATGATAAAAATGTTTTGAACTAGAGATAAGAAGTTTATTGAGAACTAAAAAATACCCGTTAATATCACAGTTTGAGAACAAATGATAGTTTTCACAGTTTTAAGAAGCTATCCAACTCGCTAAGTGTCCTGATGGAATGAATTTTGGAGGTGTTGAAAGACGTTCGTAGATGATTAGGAATATCCAGGAGAAGGTAGTTATTAACGAATTCCTTTATAACTTTTTGAGTAATCAGTTCACCTTAAACTCAGAAATTGTTTGAGAAGAACGGAAAGTCACTACTATACCATCAATATCGAAACTGCCGAAAGTAATTCCATCTAAGTCCACCATTTTCGGATGATCATCTACAACTACAAACTGAAACACCTTGGTTAGTAGAAACTGGAAGGAGACAGTTTACCTGCTGTCTTCTGAAATCGTTGAAAGATATATTTGGATGTCGAAGAAGAAATTGAACGATCTCTCGAATCATGTTGAACCGGTAGCCCCATGTTTGTTGGATGAGGAACAGAGTTGTTAATGGAAATCCTTTTTCAGTTCGAATAGACAGCTTATCAATGTCCTTTATGGGATCTTCCGGGATACAATATGACTTGATCTGGGAGATTAGCTCGATTCATATAGCTTCAAACCTATCAATACCTGTATAACGTTATTATCGTTTTTCAATATTGACATCCAACGTATCTCTCTTAATGAGTTCCTCAGGATGAACAAGCGACACATCTAAGAAGAATCAGAAGTACTAGCTGCTACATTTACTGACTCACCTCTACTTCTAGGCTTTCTAAACATGATATGTAATTTGGCCCGTTCAAGTTAGGAACTTTGATTATGCTTCCAGATTGCTCTTCGATGCTGTCAGCTTCGAACACTACTTTCTGCCAACCTTCTCCTATCTTCTTTCTGTTTTCATCAGTTTGGCAGAAAGTAGGTATAGCTGAAAAGAACAGAGTTGTTTACTTTCCTCTCATTGAACTCAACTAATGTCTCTGATCATCAATCCATCGGAATGAGGTATGAGCTGATTGAGAAGATTTGTTCTCAGTTCTCTAACTTCTAGAAACTACTATGAAAAAGCTGCTCAACAACAATGATTCACACCTTTGCCATCCTCCAACCAAAACTTAGGTTCTGTTAGTCGATGATGAAACGAATACAGGACTAAGCATAGTAAAGGTAAAAAACAAAGGAACTTCCACATCTCATCTGAAACTTCATAGCATGTGTTTGAATAGCGTTCTGGTCACGGAATGAGACATGAAAGGAAATAAATTCTGAAAAAATTAACGCCAAAGGCCATAAATATAAGAAAATGAGACAGGTCTGAGTTTAATGTGGCTGTGAATTGGTTTGGACGATTTATGTCTGCTTGTGTGAGTTAAACGGAGAATAAGACGTCTACCCCTGATGCTACTGGACAAGGAATCAGTGGAGTTGCAAACAATACAAGGCAAGTTGAGAGTGGATAGAGAGAGAAAGAAGGAAATATAATTTTAAAATGGGAGAATAAAGTGGAAAAATGAAGTAAGGCAGTGAAGAGAGAGAGAGAAGAATAGATGAACGAGATGGATGGATAGCCCATGGTCTATCTGAGTGCCTTCTGTCAATCGAGACAACCAGTCATCCATCTTACAAGCGCATATTCGAGATGTGTTTATGAAGTTATTCTCAACTCAATTTTTTATCCAAACAAGCAAAGGAGTTTATATTTCGAAAGAAGGAGAAGAGAACAATAGGCTTGACGCCCCCTAATGCACTGATAGTTGGGTTTAGGAACAGTGGTTTTCCTCCGATAAGCAACAGATCGAATAACGAATCGTGTCGTTTCTTCTCCGACAAATCTCTTTTCCAATTTTTACACTTATAAATGAGATTTACCGAAGAAAAACATTCTTGACAAGATGTTATCATGATGTGCAATCAATAGCATTTATAATGACATACAGAGATGTGCCAATGCATGCAAGTGCTGTCTGTGTGTGTGTGCTTCTGTTAGCTGTTCGTAAAACTCCAAAATGGTTGTTAAGCATAAAGGAATTAGTTGGCAAAATGGAAGCCCGTCGAAAGCTGATTTTGTTATGAAAAATGCTATCTTTAAGCTTTGTACCCGATAGTCGATAGTTCATTATATGGAAAGTGCATGAGACCTTTCAAAATCAAAAATTCATTAAAGATCATTATCCCTTTTCAATTCTGTGAGCTCGATGTGTATTATAGTCGAAATTATAGCTCCGTTCGTGATATTAGCATAAATATTTTATCCCGCCTTTAAACTTTTCAAAATCATTTTGTTCCGTGTGTGGCTACAGAGCGGTTGTGTATTACTTTTCTCTTCCGATTAAGTTAACCTGTGTTCTCATTCAAGTAATTTCAGACCCTTGTTTCAACTCTGATGGCAAACTCATGGAATAACAATGCAAAGGATACTTTTTAACACTAACAAGGTATTATATTTTTGTTGCTTTATCGAAATTGCCGCTTCCTCTTTCTCAAGTTTCCTTGTCCCTACTGATTTGAAAGTGACAAAGCATTCTAGAGATCATAGAGACAACCTCGCTCTCTCAAAAATCTCCTGCTGGGTTGCTGTCCGATTTTGCCATTCGCTTAGATAGTTCTGAAACAATAGTAGCTCCCAATGAAGTATTTCAGTTACAGGAGGAGGGGGGAGGTGTTATAAAATCCGTAAAAGCAAGTTTAGCATATTATCTGATGAAATCCGGAGAGTGAACAAAAACAGCTCAAGAATCCTTCTTCAAGGCTCATCTCACTATGCTGTCAAGAACACAGTATACTATTCAGCATGAACATTAAATTCACGTATTATGTATCAACATGCTTTCCTGTTACGAGGAGACGGGGACAATTCTCAATTTTATAAACTTTCTGATCAACTGGTTGATTAGCATTAGGGTAATAAACAGGCTCACGTGAAGCAAACCATAAGATTGATTGCGTACTGCCGTTTGAGCGAAAATGCCTCTCACAAGCTCGAGAAAAACATCTACAAGCTTGAAGTTTTTTGGAATATTTTTGTTCCATTTCATGTGATTTATCATGCTAAAACTAATAGCGCTCATGAGTTCTCCTGATATCTCACCGATACCTTGATATTGGCTTCGACGATCTTCACCAAAAGAATATCGAAATAGTATTGTGCTAGAAGATGGCGCAGACAAAAAACGACAAGAGAGTGGAGACGTGCATGTCAGCTGAGTGCGAGGTCCCAGCACACAACCCTGGTCGATATGCGAGTGGAAAGAACGTTTTTTTGCTGTTTCATTCTAGTTTTTCATGATTTTTTGTTTCCGATAAAGAGCAAAAATAGTGTGAAGTTGATTGTCAAATGTTTTCTTTCATCTATCCCATTTCATTCTCCGAAACTATGAGTTTGAATGAACTTTTCCACAACTAACACATCGTGCTTTTTGATTTGAGACTTCATCATCGATTCGACGACCGCCGGTTATTCTACTCATTTTGAACTCTTCTAGCGTTAAGCACTATGAGCTATGATTGTTCACAAGATAGAGATGCTTAGTCTCTTTTTGACTCACGAGGTTCTATGACGTTTGTTATTCTTGTCTTCAAATTTTTTTGTGAATCGTCTTCGTCATTTCCTCATATCGTTTCATGTTTAACTGTTTCATTTTTCAGGTATTGCCGGCCGGAGAGATCGATAGCCGGTTCAAGCCTCATCTTCTCATTTTCTAATTAATTGTTCATACGGGTTTTTCTCATTCGCAAACTCTCAGGATAATCTTATGAGACTAGGTTTTATAAGCCCTTGAGCTTTCGGTAAGAGGTAACGGGTTATACATTTCATTTCCAGTTTCAAAATATAATTTCAGTGGTATTATGTCCCGAAGATCATCTAGGCCTGCTTCTCATGCTGGATCTTGGTATTCAGCCAGTGCAAAAGAGTTAACTTCCCAGCTCAATAAATGGCTCGATGGAGCTGGACCTCGCATAGGAACAGCGAGAGCTATAATTTCTCCGTTCGTGAAAGTACTCGCAAAGCTATTTCGCTTTAATGTATTTCAGACATGCTGGGTATTCATATTCGGGGGAAGTTGCTGGGCACGCTTTCAAACAAATAGATCCTAATACTGTGTAAGAGTGAAGAGACAGTTAATTTATTTCCTTGTTTGCACAGTGATCGTGTAATAATTCTTGGCCCATCTCATGTTGTGTCCCTTCATGGATGTGCTATAACATCATGTGATAAGTATAAGTCCCCGATCGGTGATGTAGCTGTTGATACACGAGGTTATTGAACTTTGCTAAGTCGTTACGAATTCTTTTCAGTGAACGAAGAATTGTTAGCTACCCGTCAGTTCGAAGTCATGGATAAGAACTATGAAGAGACAGAACACAGCATTGAAATGCAAATTCCATTCTTGGTCAGAGTTATGGAGGGGTTAGTACAGCCATATAGTCAGCAATATAAGTATTGAGCTTTTAGGAAGCCATTCAAAATTGTTCCAATATTGGTGGGTAATCTACGTGACAATGCGACAAAGATTTCTTATGGAAAAATATTTGGTGCTCTGATGGAGAATCCCAGAAATATCTTCGTTGTCTCTTCTGACTTCTGTCATTGGGGTTGGTGATATAATCATCGCGGATAACAATTCGCATTTGAAGGGAATCGTTTTGATTATTGCCATCATTCATCTAGCAATGGAATGCCTATATATGATCAAATTGCTCACTTGGATAGAGAGGTAAACACCTCTCGATCTTCATTATTGACGACTTGTTTACAGGGAATGAACGCTATCGAAACTCTTAATCCACATGTGTTCTCTGAATACCTCAAAAAGACCAGAAATACAATATGTGGACGGAATCCTATCACGATTATGCTTCATGTAAGTTATTGGTCCTTTCAACATGTTTGAGTTTATCCATCAGGCTGCTGATCATTTCCGTCTCATCAACAACCACACCCACGAGTTTCGATTCATCAAATACGCTCAATCGAACAAGGCAAGTGCCATGACTATTGAACCCATATTATCTATGTCTCATTACTTTTCAGGTTCGATCCCTAGGTGATTCGTCCGTTTCTTATGCTGCAGGTGCCTTATTTGTGCATCCAAAGTAATACTTTCTCCAATTCCTCTTTCAAAGACGTTTTTCTCTGCGAACTGGTCGGACCAAAACTCTCCCGAAAATTTCTTTGTAAAGTTTTAGTTCCCGGTTCCGTTTGTGATGTATTTCCTAATAAGAAGTTTCCAACATTCACCAATTCCTATCACTAATACCTCAAAGTTTTCATTTTAATCTATTGATCTGACGTTCATGTATGTGTGTGTGTGTACCTTCTGAATGATTTCTCATAGTTCGTGCCTTTTCCCTGCGGATTTTACTTTTTCGATGAATTTTTTATAAAAAAAAAGTTGAACAGAATGATTTTACTTCGAGAAAGGTTGTACGAGTCCTATAATATATGGCTATAGTAGCCCATCAAATTAGATTCACTTCATTATTTCGAAGACTGATGCGTGAAGAAGAAGTTGTGTTAGGAGAATAGAACTAGCAGGTTCAACGAATTGGACCGTAAACGATATACGTCGGCTTCCCATCCGTTCCATTATGATTCTCCAGCAGTTCTTCAGCATCACCAGCAAAGAAGGAATTCGCATCAATGATGTTTACCTAAAGAATGGAAGAAGGTGTTATAGTAATGTAATAAGTAATAGGGATAGGCTCGTGTAAAGATCAAACATGAAAGGAGATGGATTATTACCTCCTCATCGCTTGTCGGTGTTGCATAAGCCAAGAAAAACTTCCCGTCTACTTCTATTTTACAATTCAAATCTCCCGCAAAGTTTACTTTGGCCACGAAATCTTTATGCCCAACTATGGATTCGAATGACATGGCGAACTTCTTCTCGGCTGCCTTGAACAAGAGAAGTTCAATCAAAGTTCCAGTATTCTAACTATACCTCTTGAACGGCCGTTGCCATCTTCTGAACGTTGCAGAGTGAAATCCCTTCAGACTTAGCTTCCAAATATGCCATCTCCATTGTTTTTTCAAGTGTCACATTGCAACAAAGGAAACCTGCATATGCAATTTATGTGTAAGCAAAATAACAACAGTGGAAGTATTTAAGATACTGAATTCACTAACCGCTGGGATTTGTATAGCACTTGGGACCAGGTGGAGGCGGAGGAGGTGGAGGAACAACAATCGGCACCGGAATTAAGAAAGGCGATGCAGCATTGTTCCGTCCACCTTGCAGAAAGAACGAAAGAGGGGAGAAACCGTTCTTCTATAAAAAAAACGTTATTGATGATGCTTAACTCGAAGAATTAGAATTGTGAGGCTAACTTCTCCGAATAAACTCTGGTAAAACTGTCCACCGCCCAAGGATGTGAACGTTTGACCAATATTCTTACGCCTGTCTTGATCCGTCCGTTGACCGTTCTTGATATGTAAGCTGTTTATATACCTCGATGTGCTGAATCAAAAATTCATTAGAGCTATCCATATGAAATTACTCACTCAGCCTTCGACACCCCGTATCCACTAGGAGCTGAAGTGCCTGCACCGTTCGGAGGAGCGCCACCTCCAACAGCTGTACCTTCACCGACCGCGGTACCTTCCCCACCATTTGCAGCAACAGCAGTACCTTCTCCACCTCCTGCGAGAGTTCCTTCTCCACCTCCTACGTGAGTTCCTTCTCCAGCTCCTACGTGAGTTCCTTCTCCAGCGCCAGCGAGAGTGCCTTCTCCCGCTGATGAAGTGGCTGCACCTCCACCAGTCAATAGCTATACAAGGTTTTATGTTCTGTGTATTCAATTTCTACTAACTTCGGCATATTTAGGTGCAGCCGTTGCTTGTTGAAGAAGAGGAGCTTGATGCGGTGGTGGTGGAGGTGGCGGAGCTGGATGATAATTGTTGAGCGACAGTGACTGCGTTAGTGAAGGAGATACTTGATATCTCGCTTAAATGTGAGTTTAATTTTGTATTGTCTAACCCTATTTACAATCCTGAGCTTTGCTAAATCCATATTGTCCGCCGGTGAGCTTCTGGAAAATTTGATGATAGTTTTGCGAATTATCTTGATCCAGAGACTTACGGAGAGTCGGTTTGAGCTCGTAGGCTCAGCGAAAGTGTAACCAGAAGGAAGTCGAACATAACGAGTTCCTTTGCGCTGTCCGATTGTAGTTGATACGCAAAGAATAATGAGAGACCAACGTAGCATCGACTGTTCAAAGTTTCAAACGTCTATGCCGGTTAATGATTAGCAGGACAGTGTGTGGAGATGTTGGAAGGCCTATGTTACAGAATAGAAGCGGAGGTCCAATGTTACCAGATAGTAATGCTTTCATTTCCAAAAAGAACTGGTCTTACATAGACTATTCCGACATTCAGAAGTGAGCTTCTGCTGGTCATTACTTCTGTTTACTGTTGACTGCATAGCTAGATAGTAGGGATTGAGTACAGGTGAAAGCCAGAAAATGAGAAACGAAAGCCGTACTCAATTTGAGCATTCACGACTTCATTTGGAACGATTAGAGGGAAAACAAGTAATGTATTTCATCCTGAGCGCATAATGTCAATTCTGAAGATGAAGCTATGCTACTCATACCACGTAATATCCACGTACAAAGTCGATCGAATTCCATTCACCAAGAAGCTTTCACACAAAGCGGTTGCATTCGTATTCATGTGTGATATCATATGAGGGGTGGACGTTTCATATTTTTTGAACAGCACCATGCTTCTCTATAGTTTCATTTTTGAATTGTTTTTCGAAGAGAACAGGAATAGGATTGTCTTCAGCCTAATCATCATTATTGACTATGTCAACATTGTAATTTAAAGGGAAGAAGGGTCAAGGAAGAAGCTGGCATTAGAGATTTTCAGCACTAAGCGAGATTTTTTTGAGCGAATGAATGTTTCACTAGAAAGAAGAAGAGTAAAGATTAAGAAGATCTACCTCAATGCAGCAATAGGTCAGTAAGATAGGTTGAATAGAACGGAGAGAGAGGATATGTTTTCGCATATTTGCTATAGCTTTTGTCTCATTTCTGTTCGTGGAACTATGGAGACTCACGTTTTTTTCTAATATTATAGGTACAGTCGATTTTCTCTTTTTGCAAATGATGGTTTTGTTTTTAATTGAGCCATTCATGATGTCACGCACTTGCTTGATTTTGAGGGCTGCGACAACCTCATATCCCACTCAAGTTTGATCATGCTCATTAGATTTTATAAATAAATGAAGCGTGAAGATGGGTTTGAATTTCCAAATACAATCATCTGATAAGTTGAGAGGTTGAAATTTCGTCCAGCTGATTCCACTTCAAGTCATACAGAGTTCTTCTTCTTATTTGTTTATTGAATAGACAATATATTCATCTTCGCCTAGACTATGCAATGGGTTCTCAAGTGCGTTCGTCCGCTCATCCATCCGCACCTTTAGGCTTTTGCTAAACATTTAATAGAAAATCTCATCAAAAACCTTTTTCACAGCTGCGCTTACATAAACTTCGCTGCTCCGATTTTCTCTCAAAAAACAGACTCATGGCTTCTGAATCGTATTGTAATTCTGCGCGTGCACTACATCACTACATCCTTCTCTCCCTTCATACCTCATTCTGATCTTGTTTCAAAGCTCAAGATGTTCTTTTTCATACTCACACACTGACTTCAATCTGGTTAAATCCTGAATGCGTTCCTCCAATTTTTTCCGTGTTTGTTTTTGTTTTATAGACCGGAATCGTCAAAAAACATTCGAAGGACGATATGAAAAATCCGCGATTAACGCACACAGATATGAAAAAAACTGAAGAGGATATACGTGTAGATCAGACGATCAACACTGGTTTTCGTGTTTGTGAGGTTTCAGTGCTCGGTCATTTAAGCAGTTGCTCGTGGGAGCTCATGCAATTCGAATCTTTTGCTCCACACCCCATTTCCCTTGCTCTGTTCTCTTATGAGCTTCTCATTCTCAAGTTAATTCAAAGTGTTTCAGACTGTTAACCTACTTCAGGAATCTGCTATCTCCTTAAAAGTTCGCATTTCCTCGATAGTTCTTCTTCTCATCTCCGTGTTTCAGCATATGAACTTCTTATCCCAGTTACTTTTGTTTCTTTGCGTCGCAGAAACGTTCTGTAATCAGCTGGATTGGTGCTTGTATTTCAAACTAAGAAATATCGACAGACCTGAGTGCAAATACTATGATATTACTCGTGAGCGACCGGCTATCAAAAGAATCATCGACAGACGTGAGCTAGCTTGATGTCTGTTCATCATGAAACATACCTTTCCAGTGCCAAACAAGGATAAATTCCGCAAAATCGCTTCGTTACCGCTGTCATCAATATCAAACATCCCACCCAGTCAAGTAGGTATATAGAAAGAAGGAAAATTATTATAATTATCATTTCCAGCCAATCGTTAGCAGCATGACTAGTTTCAAGCCTCCTATCTGCTCAGCTTATAGTAAACACTGTACCTATAGCACCATGTGTGATGGAGGCATGCAGGTTTGCAATTCATAAAGGGGAATACAATAGAAACTGTTCATTACTTGATAGAGATGTGTTGATATGATGAACTTCCGCGAATGCTGCTCAACACCAGAACGAAGATGCCCACCACCATCTTCTTTCGGTTTCA